GGACAGTAATCCATCCAGTTTTCAGTACCACCCATTCTCGGATCGTGGAAGTACTGCAAATATGGTGGCAGGCTAGGATGATACTTTATTATGCAGTTTCCAATGCCCATTCGGTCTGATGTGCATTTTAATTCACTTATTGTGTGAATAATACTGTCACAGAACATCTCCGGCACCTGCGATACACCGTCAATAACGCAGTTCTTATCAAAGAGCACACAACCGGCATTCTTACCCCATGCCATGCCTTCAGTATTGTGGTAGCTGCATTTGTAGTAGCCCGTGTCCTCCATCGCCGCAATGGTGATAGCAGTGTATAAACCTGCAGTTATATTAGGACCCATCAAGTCATCCTTTGCGTTGCGCATCTTCCAGTGTGAGCCCACAGTCCACGATCTACCCATATCCTCCAACTCCATGTACTGCATGATACTGCACCCGTAATGAGCCCTCGCAACTTCGACAACTTTGGGCGAGGACAGAACAAAGCTTGGTAGCTTATTGCGAACAGACACAATATCAACCATGTTTCTATTTATGATTATATGGTCTGAGAATCCCAACGCGTGCAGCATCTCGTGCGCCAGGGTACGTATGGAAGAGATAATGTTAATGGTGTCTACAATCCCAATGTTGGCAACACCCACCAAGGGGCAGCCACTGGCAACAGTCTGGCATGTGATTCCCCACGCGAGAATAGGAAATTTAGTTGGTCCTGCCGCAACATATAGCACAAAGTCGGTATCCGGCACACCGGTGGTGTGGTGAGACTGGGAGACAGTAAACTAAGGGCAGATATTTCCTGTGAAGTGTTCAACACGGATGCTGTCTCTGAGCGGTTGCACCAGCAGGCGGTCCTTGTGCATCTGGACCGCGTTGGGGATTATCACCTCACGCAGCAGTTGCTTCTTTTCATCGTGAGAACGTTATTGGGATTACACTTAAGCATAGAGCCAGAGAAGTCAGGTCTCGTCTCCCCTGGTTGTGTGCAGTAGCGGGAGCTGTTGTCGAGGTCCTCGGTGAACACCGAGATGCGGATCGGCTCCCATGAGTCAGGGCCTGTGATGCTGCCATGCTGCTCCGCACCCTGGCCCTGCGGCGTTTCGCGGTACGTCACCTCGGGGACGGCACTGGTGCCGGTTGCCAGCTGCAGGTGCTGCAGCTCGTCGAAGATACAACGGTGCCCCGCAGCGATCAGCGGGGTCCCGACAAGCAGCGCGAGCAGGACAACGGCCACGGTCAGCGCAGTCACCCGAAAGCCGGTGGGTAGGTTGGACATTCGGTGGCGTGTGGTGGCGGGGATCGTGGACAGTGCACTTGGCGGCGGTGTGAGTATTTGTGTGTGTGTGCTTAGATGGTAATGTTG